AATTTATGGCAAGGTTATCTTTCTCTTCCTCTTGCAAACAGTTCTCGGAAAAATGAGTCATGCAGTAATCTCTTGGAACATCTGTTGCTGAATTGCTCAGTCCCTCTCCCATATCCATAAGAATGCTGTAACCTTTGACCAACTTCTTCAACCCCTTCTAAATACAAACTGTATATAAGGAAATCCGATCTTACAATAAAGCGACCCTTGACAAGTGGACTTGCTTGGGCTCCGTCTCCTCTTTCTCGCCCGTTTTTCCTTTCAGGGAATGGTCCCCCTCGAGCCTTACCTGTACAGGGTCCCCGCAGGCAGGGGCACTGGGGTTAAAAGTGTGCTCTACCACACCTGGCAATAGAGAGGATTTATAATGTTCCCAGTACAAATGAAAGATGTGCTGATCACCTCAATTTGATCATTATACATTGTATACATGAGATGTATTGAAGCATTGTACTGTATCTCATAAGTATGTATAATTATTATGTATTAGATAAAATAAAAAATTTTAAATTTAACTGGATGGATTAAAAAGTTGGGGGATTATTGTTACTTGGAATGAGAAAAAACAGGGATGGAGATCTTATCAGATGTTAACTGAGGTCTTATCAGTGACATTTTTCTGGCTCCCATCTCCTCTTCAGTTTCTCTTAAATTATTGAACTTCAAGCATGTGGAAACAGCAGCAGCTGTTCAGGGTAGGTGTTCAGAGTGAAGGTAGGTGGGGATGACTCCACAGAGATATTGCCTGGCCTAGTGATGCACACCTTTAGTCCCAGCACTTAAAAAGCAGAAGCAAGCAAATCTCTATGAGTTCAAGTTCAAGGTCATCCTGGTTTACATAGCAAGTTCCAGGCCACCCAGGCACCCAGGGCTACATAGTGAGGAGAGAGAGAGAGAGAGAGAGAGAGAGAGAGAGAGAGAGAGATCATTTGCAGGAGAGTTTCTGGAACACAGGTCTTAATGAGCCTTTTTTAAACCTGGTCCTTTTGAGCTGGGCGTGGCGGTACACACTTTTAATCCCAGCACTCGAGAGGCAGAGGCAGGCGGATCTATATGAGTTCAAGACTAGCTGCGGGTATAAGGAGACCCTGTCTTAAAAAGGCCAAAAAAAAAAAAAGTTTGATTGAGTTATCAATATAGTACTGAGCATGCTATGTCTGAGATATGCTAGACTCTTAGGATTTACAAAGGTGGAATTAGACATTTTGGCTGTGGCTAAGGTCACAGCTCCCTTCCCTATGCTCAGCCTGGTCCACACCATGAACTTCCCAAACTAATGGAAACACCTCTCAAAATGAGCAGTGCAGTAACAGCGAGAATCAGGGAAGGAACTTGAACGAATGCAAACCTCAGCTCCAGAGACTTAGGACACACATCTGACCAGGGACTGTAGCATTTTGCATCGTGTTGTATCTAATGGATAGTAGATGACCAATTATTTATTTATTTATTTATTTATTTATTTATTTATTTATTTATAGACAGGGTCTCACTATGTAGCCTTGATTTATTTATTTATTTATTTTACTTCTCTGAACTTAATGGAGGTAAAAAAACAATGCAAAAATATGAGCCCTGTTGATGTTGGGCTTGGGGAATTTTCTTTATAAATAAAAATTACTATTATTTTACCATAACAGCAAAATGAAAAATGGAGCCCATTTCCCTCTGTTTTATCAGAGCCCAGTCATCTTGGCATGGAATCTGTCAGGGAAGCATTTGACCATGTTCCTAGCTTTGTTGTTGTCATCAAGACAGTCTGTGTTAAGGCTGTCTAATTATTGCCTGGACCAACCTGAAATTGGGGTAGCAGCATACGCTCACTACAGCAACTTTGTGTTGCTAATCACTTAAATTTTTTCTGAACCTAAACTTCTGCTTGTGCCTTGTTCCTTCCTATTAGGGACCTGACAGAGAAGAGTAGACAAGGGAACCAATGTACAGGCTGGATGAGAACTGATGAGGACTTTGGTCTTCTGGAAACCATGGTAACTGGAGCCAGGAGCTATTGAAGACTGGACCATGGTCTCCATAAATAGCCTTTTCTCTCTTCTCTTCATCTCACACCAAGGGGGAAAGGTACTATCCAAGCCCCAAGGCCAAAGTGGCATTTTTTTCTAAGGTTCTAAACTCTTGGAAAATAGTTAGCAATGGTAAAGCAGTTGTAAATGACTCTAAGGCTACTCAACAAGGATATAATCATTCACAAAGAGCTTAAAAGGACTTCACAGTTAATCTTGGCTTTCTGTAGAGTTTCATTAACTCTAATCAGTTCAAAATAACGATGGCTATGCATACCTGTTTGAGTACAAGTAATAGATGCTGGATAGAAATAGGAAAAAGTCCCCAGGCTCCTGTGTCTTTTGTCTCCTCCTCCTCGTCCTCCTCTTCCTCCTCCTTATCCTCCTCATCCTCATCCTCCTCCTCCTCCTCTTCCTCCTCCTCCTCCTCTTCCTCCTCCTCCTCTCTTTTTTTTTTTTTTTTTTTTTGTGTGTGTGTGTGTAAGACGAGTTGCCCTTCTAGACTTGAGCACCTCTGGCTTCATCCTCTTAAGTGGGACTATAGGATTTTACTACCACACCCAGCTTTCTGTTTTCTTCCTTGATCACTTTTTAAAATCTCCACACAATTTCTTGCTCTCATGAAACTTTTCTAGGATAATCTCATACCAAAGTTTATAATGACAATTTTGGAAGATTTGAGGTTAATAGGACAATGTAAGAAAATAAAGACTAGAAAATCTAGCTTGGAGCATATTCATCCTCAGTTTGTCCTTATCTATACATGAGTGCCTCCCCCTTAACGCTGCCAGGGAGAGGCTAGCGCCAAGATGGCCTTTGCTTGCTTCTCTGTCTCTTCAGCTTCTGCTATGGCCCTTTTTCACCTTCTGGTTTGTATGTCTCCTCACTGATGTCTTGACAGCCTCAAAGTGACTTCTGGTAATCTGAACCATATGCCATGGCCTTCGGACCACTTCTTAAAGAATTTTCCCTTGGACAGTACCTCTAACACTTCCAAATCTATCCCTGGAGCCATATTTGGAGACCATGTGACAGAAATGAACAACTGCCAGGTCTAGAGATGATACTTGCTTAAACATAATCTAGATACATCTCGCCTGACCTGTCCTACATCTAGCAGGCCTCTAGCTCCCTCTGTTGCTTTAGCTTTAAAAAAATTTTATGAGGTTCACTCAACCATCTAAATAAACTCAATGATATTCATGGGCTCAAAAGTGAGAACAGCTCCTTGCTCATGGGACTGAGAGCATGTTCTTCCTTTGAACCCTTAGGTGCTTGCAAATGGATGTGGAACCCACAGTAATAGTCATCTCAAACGATTTTTTACCTTGCTACTTATGTTTTATAGCATTAGAGAACTGATTTAACCCTAATTCCATCTCAATGTCTTTTTAATAAAAGGATTAAGCTGGGTGTGGTGGTCTATGCTTGTGATTCCAGCACTTGGGATACAGAGGCAGGTAGGTCTCTAGGAGTTCAAGGTTGGCCTGGTCTACACAGAAAGACAGTAAGTTCCAGGGCCTCTAGGGCTACAAAGTGAGGCCTTGTTTTAACTAACTAACTAACTAACTAACTAACTAACTAACTAACTAATTAACTAACTATACACATAAATAAATAAATAAATAAATAAATAAATGGATTAGTCAGGAAATATGTAAATCTAGAAATTCATCTTTGCTGTGTCAAATACAAGATTGACACTCTGTGTGGCCAATGTTTTCCTGATGGTGTCAATTCTCAGAGCATTCAGTACCGTGGCCCAATATTACCTGGATTGTAGTTTGGTAGCTTGGAGACTCCAGGCCAGGTATCCTCTGTAGGAACTCCCAATACCTACATAAAACCAGAAAAGACAAAGAAAGGTGAGGGGGAACCAGGTGGATGGAGCAGGTAGAGAAACATAAAGGACAGAGCAGGGAGGAATGGAGAATTCAGTGATGTCACATTGTGTTGGACCAACTGACATATTTGAGAAACAAATTCTAGTATTTCCAACATTTTTAGTTTAGTGGGCAAACCAACATATCCCTGTGGTCCTGAGCCTGTGTCTTCACTAACTCAGCTGTAAATATTTATTGCATGATCGCCATGTATTAGGGATATAAGGGGTAAGAGCAACCATACTTTTGCCTTCTATTACAGTTCCGCAAGCATACTGGCAGGAGATGCTGATGGCTTGAATTATGTCTCAGCATGGGCATTCAGCTATTTCTGGATGTGCTCAAATTAAAAAGGATTCAAATTACTGACCTTTAGGCTGTGGAACATTAACTGAAAATTACCCCAACCCAACTCTCTACTAAACTTTCAACTAAATTCATCTCATTCCTTGTTTCCTCTGTCTAGCAGCTTGGAACATGGTACTTGGTTTTCCATTGGTGAATTATAATGGTAACATCATTTGAAAAAGAGCTAGCCTAAGATTTAAAAAAAATTATTATTAGGCCAGAAAGATGGTCAGCGGTTAAGAGTGCTTATTGCTCTTGCAAAAGACATGCATTCAGTTCCTAGCACACACATCAGGTAGCTCACAACCACCTGTAACTCCAGCTCTGGGGAATCTGACACCCTTCTCTGGCCTCTGAGGGCACCTGCATGTACATGGTGCCCAGAACTCACAAGCACACACACATACACATAAAAATAATAAATAAATCTTTTAAAAAATTATTACCATTTTGTGTGTTTGTGCAAGCATGTATGGAGGTCAGAGGGCAATTTCGTGGAGTTGGTTCTTTTCTATTTTCATGTGGGTTCTAGGAATCAAATTCGGGTCACCAGGCTTGTGCAGCAAGTGCCTTTACCCACTAAACCATCTTGTCAGCCCTGAATTGTGCTTTAGATGACCAGACTGAAGCTCTAGTTTTTAATGGAGAGGCTATAGGAAAATAAACTCTTCTGGAGTAAAAAGCCAAAACAAGGTTTTGATGGAACCGTCACTGTGTCCCCCATGGGCACCCTCTTTCCATTCTTTGAAGGTAATGGTAAATCCCATAGGGAATATGAATTATCTGGCATTTGTGAAACGCTGGTGAAACACTGGGAGTTTTCATCACATCCGAGTGTGCAACTTGCCTTTGAAGCATATGAATATCACTCTTCTATAAAACACTGATTATAGACACTGGCCCAATTTTGATGGCAGGAAGTTAATTGTCTGAATGAATATAATTAGCAAAGAACCCAGAGTCTCAACTCTATTGGTTTGAGGACTAGGTCTCTGGCTGAGACATATATTTGTAGAGTCTGTTAAGCTTGTCCTTAAACAAAGACATTAACGTGCTATTTTCTCTCACATAACACATTTTGAAAAGTCATGCCACCCAGTAAAAGCATCCTGCTTTGATCCATTCTCTAAACAAACTGAAAAGTGACTGGGAGGATTATAGGCTTTTCTATCAACCACAGAGTCTGAGGGAACACTGAGGATCCTGGAATCCATTTTGAAAAACCAACTAGACTGATTCTTCTTTTGCGGGAGAGGCCCAGAGGATGGGAAGCTGGGAAGCTAACTCGTGTTTCTCAACCTACCTTCTTCTGTATTTGCACAGATGTGTGTGCAAACAAGTGGGTGGAACCCATGATTGCCCATTCATATTGTGTTGGTTGGCAAACACAATGGAAAGAAAGCAAAGACAATAGAGGAAAGCATACAGAAAATGAACGGCAACCACAGCGGTATTTCCTCTAAGGTGAAAGCTGCCAAACTTCTTGGTTATTATATTTAACTAATGCCAAATGGATACCAAATTTTCTGGAAAAAATCTTATGTTAAAAGATGTTAGGCTTGACACACTAGAAGTTCAAACAAAATTTCAATATTCATTTAGCAAGATATAAATTCAGGAACTATTTATAATCTTTAATTTTCTAGCCTATTTCATAGGCAACGAAAGCAAAGACAGACAACCAGGATTATATGAAACTAAGAAGCTTCTGTGCAGAAGAAGAGACAATAGAATAAAGAAACAGCCTACAGGATGGCAGAAAAACCTTTGTAAACTATGTATTTGGTCAGGAGTTAATATTTATAGGGAGCTCAAAGAACTCAGTAGCAAGTAAACAAATAACCTAATTACGAAAATAGACAAAGAACTTCAATAGCCATTTCTCAAAGAAAGACATACAAATGGCCAGTACACATGAAAACATGCTCAGCATCTCTAGCCATCAAAGAAATGCAAGTTAGGACAACAGTTATAGTTAAGACTTTGGAACTATCACCTTGTATCTGTTGGAATGGTTACAATAATAGCCAGGCATGGTGGTGCATGCCTTTAATCCCAGCACTTAGGAGGCAGAGGCGGGCAGATCTCTGTGAGTTCAAGGCCAGCCTCGTCTACATAGTGAGTTCCAGGACAACTGGGGCTGCAGGGAGACTCTGTCTCAAAAAGACAAAAAAAAAAAAAAAAAAAAAAAAAAACCAAGACAAAAGAAGGCCTGGGATGAGACTTAATTGGTAGAGTGCTTGCCTAGCACGCATGAAACCCTGGGTTTGATCCCCACCACTGAATAAACCAGATATGCTGGCACACACCTATAATCCCAGTATGTGAGAAGGAAGGCAGGAGGATCAGGAGTTCAAGGCAGGGCTATATGACACCCTGTATCAACACCTGCGCCTGCAAAAAAGACAAAAGAATGATGTCAGGATGGGGAGAAAAGGTAAGCCTTGCTCTTAGTTGGTGAGAATGTAAATGAGCATAACCAGGATGGAAGTCTCAAACAGCTACAAATGGGACTACCATATAATCCACCATTACTGTTTTGTATCCAAAGAAAAAGAAATCAGCACATCAAAGAGTTAACTCATGATTATTACAATTAAGAGTGTGGCATATACACACCATGGAATACTGAAAAAAGAGAATATATGCAGAGAGTGCATGCCTGTGACCTCAGCTCCTGGGAGGTGGAGGCAGTAGGATCAGGAGTTCAAGGTCAGTCTCATCAATATAGTGGGATGGAGGCTATCCAGGGCTATGTGAAATCATGTCTCAACAAACTAAAAGTAAAGAAGGAAGGGGAAGAACGGGGGAGGACCTTTAAAAGAAGAAAATTTTTCTGTTTATAGCAAAATGGATAAGCCTGTAAGACATTATGTTAAGTAAAATATTCTAGGCATGGGAAGACAAATGCCTCATCATCTCATTCATATGTGAAATCTAAAGAAGTTGAACTTAGAAGCATGGTGGTTCCAGACACTAAGGGTAGGGGATTGGGGAGATGGTGAAAGGATACAAAATTTCAATTCCATATGAGGAATAAATCCAAGAAATCTATTCTACAACACAGTGACTATAGTTAATAATAATATATTCTTAAAAATTGCTGAATAGATTTTTAAGTATCTTCAGAAAAATAATATGTGAGGTGATGTGTATGATAATTGGCTCAATTTGGCCAATACTATGATGCATAGTATAAAACATCATATTAAGACTGGAGTGTAGCTCAGTGGTAGAGAGCTTATCTAGCATGTAGGAAGCCCTGGGTTCAAGCCCAGCATGGTAAGAAAATAAAAAGAAAAACCACATCATGTTATGTTTAATAAATACATTTTGTAATATATCAATGACAAAAGAAATCAATTCAGGCTCAGAGTGTATACCCATTGATACTCAGATGTATAATACAGCCACATTATTAAATTTGTTATGGATGCTGTGATGTCATCAAATGCAACATTATTGGTTTCACACAATGTCCTATGAAGCCTTTCTTTTTTGTGGTATTTTTGTTGTACTTTTCTCTGTGTGACTTGGGCAGGTTGAAACCACTTGAAACTGCTTGGTGACATTATTTCCTCATATACAAAAATGAAACACTTGGGGACCAGTGAGATGGCTCAGTGCTTGCCACCAAGCCCGATGACCTGAGTTTGATCCCTGGAATCCACTGGTGGAAGGAGAGAACCAACTCCTTCAAATTGTCCTCTAACCTCCACATGTGAGCGGTGTAAAAGCCAATAACAAAGTGACCAAATGTAATGAATTTTTCCAGTTTCCTCAGAATATAGACGAAATAGTAAAATGCTTGGACAGAACCAATACAAAGTGAAATTAAATGAATCTGACCTCATAGTGTCTGTAATATGTAGCTAAGCAATCTGGAACTATCTCCTTGATAACAGGTTGAAAGTCAGCAGTGAGCTGTACAATTGCACTAATGAGAAATCACTGACTAAAGGGAAAAACCCATTGAACAGAGGAGAATATCCTGGTTTCAAATGATAGGAGCTGGGGCTGGAGAGATGGCTCAGGAGTTAAGCACCCATACTGCTCTTCCAGAGGACCTGAGTTTTGTTTCCAGCACCCACATTTGGCTCACGAATGCCCATAACTCCAGCTCTAGGGGGTCTGACACCCTCTTCTGGCCTCCAGTGGCACCTGCACTCATGCGCACATGTCCTCTCCCCCACCCCATATACACATTATCAAAAATAAATCTAAAAAAATGATAGGCGCTGCAATGCTCTCTTTGTACTTTATTTATAGGAGCCATAGCTTCTCAGAGTCAGAGACTAAAGTCCAGTTTAAGACACTAAGATTCAGGGAGTTTGGATACAGCCTTGTTCTTCCTTATACCCAAAGTTAGAGCTACATTCCGAACTCATGAGTCCTGACTCCAGGCCAGTATTATTTCTGGTATGCTTACTTAATTTAAATTTGTAATAAGTTGTCATATGTGTCAAAATAAAGGCTCCAATTTACTGTGCTGAAGACAGAAGCAAAATATGAACTGGTTCCCTGGGCAGGGTATGTTGGGCTGATGTGTTACAACGTGCATGTGTTTGCTACATCACTCCTTTTTGGGATCTTTATATTCAGATTCGAGTGCAACATCTTTCACTCACTGAATTACCCAATACATTCTCCAGATGGCCAGTGTTAGTTACCAAGGACTGACAATTAAAAGAATCACCAGGGCTAGGGAAACACCCAGTCCACTCTTTTTGGTCTATAATTTCTGAGTGTTATGCTAAATGCAAAGAGCTGCAAGAAGTAGGTGGTCATTTAAATAGCACCTAATTTTTAAAAATCTCAGTTTACATACAGCTCTTCAAATACTAGTCACACTCTGTTTCAACTGAAAAAAAAAAAAAACCCGCCTGAAAGCACAGATCATGCTTTTTTTTTTTTTTTTTCTGATTGCCCTTATGCTATGAATTGTTACTTTTTGGAAGTCTCTGAAGAATATTCCTATATGGCTAATGTGTGTGTGTGTGTGTGTGTGTGTGTGTGTGTGTGTGTGTGTATCTTCAGATGCATAAAGGGCCACTGCAGGGTGAGGCAGGCAGTGCTACCTGTGCTTTCTTCATTATGGAAAAAGAGTAACAGGTCAAGTGAAGGAATGGACCAATTAGGTCAACTACCAGGTAATGCTTGCTAGTGACTTATTGAAAAACACCTCTGTGATAGTTTATCTGAAAGAAGAAAAGGAAATATGCACTTGCATACACACATAGACACAGACACACACAGACACACAGACACAGACACACAGACACACAGACACACACACACACACACACACACACACACACACACTTGCAACATGGTCTTGCTATGTAGCCTGGATAAGCTGTACTTGATATATATAGCCCAGGCTGGCCTCAAATTCACAGAAACTCATCCTATCTCAGCCTTCCAAGTACTGGGATTATAGGAATGTTCTACTTTACCTCGCTCAAGAAAACAAATATATATTTTATATTTTTTTCACTTATTGTGTGTATGTGTATGTGTTTGCCTGTGTGTGTGCATGCATATGGAGGGTGTACATGTCCCACAGAGTATTTGTGGAGGTCAGAGGACAATCTTCAGGAGTCAGTTCTTTCCCTCTACCATGTATGTCTCAGGACTCAAACTCAGGTTGTCAGGCTTGGCAGCAGGTAGTTTTTATCCATTGAGCCATCTTGCTAGCCCTGTAAACATTTATCGAGCACTTATGATGTACTAGTTTTGTTTTATTTTTATAATAAATAAAATTTTTATATTATTATTATTATTATTATTATTATTATTATTGAGACAGGTCTCACTATGTAGCCCTGGTTGTCCTGCAACTCATTATGCAGACCAGTCTGGCCTTGAACTCAAAAAGATCCACCTGCCTCTGCCTCTGCCTCCCAAGTGCTGGAATTAAAGGCCTGTGCCACTATTCCCAGCTTAGTTTTGCCCTACATTTTGTCTTACAGAATTCCTATGACAAGGTTATAAAATCTTATGATCAACTTCATTTTATAGATGAGGAAAATAAAGTACAAGTGGTACCATATATGTAGTCCACATTCATAACTATTAAGTGGCAAGAATTCAAACTTAGGCTCTTCTGATTCCAAAGTCATAACATCAGTTACCTTCAGCTTAGACAATGTTAGAAAATACTCAATGATGTGATTAGGGGGCAGCATTTACCTTTCTTCCTAAGAAAAAGCCTTTTGGCTTGAAAAACAGGTTTGTGTTTGTTTGTTTTTGGGTTTTGTGTGTGAGTGAGTGTGTGTGTGTGTGTGTGTATGTGTGTGTGTGTGAAAGCTTGCCTATTTGTCCCATGTTTCTTATAATATTTTCCAGGTTTCCAAAAGAAAATCAATGTCAGTGATTAACTTCCATATAACGTCTCCATATCTCATAGTGCATGTTAGCTGGATCGAGAATAACAACTGATAAAACCCTCAGTCTAAAGCACCATGACTCAGGTACAATATGAATCAACCTTGAAAACATGCGAAATGAAATAAGCCAGGTATATAGAGACTAATATATGATTCCAATGACAAGCAGCATGTACAATAGGCAAGTTCATAGACATAGAAAGTAGATGAGAGGTTCTTGGGGCTGAGGCAGGCAGGGTAGATAGGACTCAGTGTTTAATGACTACAGAGCTCCTGCTTGGGGTGATGCAAAAGTGTTGGAAATAGGGACTGGAGAGATGGCTCAGTGGTTAAGAGCACTGGCTGCTCTTGCAGAGGACCTGAGTTCAGTTCCCAGCACCCACATGGTGGCTAACAACTGTCCCTAACTCTAGTTCCAGAGAATTCAATACCCTCTTCTGGCCTCCATGGGCATTGCACAACATGGGTGTACTTACATACATGTAGGCGAAATACTCATACACATAAAATAAAAATAAATTAAAAAAATTTTGAAAGTACTGGAAATAATGGTAAAGATGGCAGCCAAGCAGTATGAATATACTGACTGCAGTGAAACAGATACTTCAAATTGTTGAAACGGTAAATTTTTCCTTCTCATTTTATTTTAATCACCATATAAAGCTTACTGGGTACCATGTATTTCTTAAAAACTTCCCAATTGCAGTTATTTATTTATTGTGTATGTGTATAGAGGGTACACTTACAAGGGTATCTGTGTGAAGGTCAGAGGAGAGCTTGAAGGGCTTGTTGATTTTCTCCTTCCACCATGGGAGTTCTGGGGATCAAACTCAGGTCATTAGGTTGGTATTGAACTCAGGTCATCAGGTTGGCAGCAAGTGTCCTTACCCACTGAGCCATCTTACTGGCCCCTATATAATTTTTTTTTATTTTTGAGATAGGGTCTCCCTGTAAACCTGGCTAACCTAGAACTCACTATATAGACCAGGCTGGCCTCAGTCTTACAGAAATCTACTTGCTTCTGCCTTCCAAGTGCTGGGCTATGCCAGGCTCCACGTGATGTATTAATACATGTATGAACTGTGTAGTATTAATATCAGGGTAAGCTTATATATCTCCTCAAACATTTGTCATTTTGTTGTAATAAAAAATTCAAAATCATTTATTTCTTTCTTTCCTTTTTTAAATTTACAGAACACTATTGTTACCCATAGTCAGTCGACTAGGCACTAGACTACTAGACCTTATTTATCAAACCTATCTGTAATTTGGTATCCATTGATCAATCTGGCAAATGTTTAAATATTATATATATTTTATCAAAATAAGGAAAATCACCAAAAAAGTGGGAAATAGATAGGTGACCATAGTAAGACTGCCTCACTACTATATAGGGACATAGAAGCAAAGCACATAATGGTATAAATAAGTAGAGACAAATAATAAGGAAAGAAATGGAAACACACATGCACATACACACATACATATCTATATGTATGCACAGACGTATAGGGACCCTTTGCATCTTAGCAGCATGGGATGACCCATGCAGATTATCATGACCGTGACAAATACTACAGTTCCCTCCCTTATACTAACATAGGAAGTCTGTTTTATGAGGGTTCCAAGAAAAGTTGGTTTCTTATCTCCAGTTGACAAAGATTCAAATATATGAAAGAATTAGAGTTGGGGGTCACAGTGCTAGGACATGCCTCAGGAGTATTGGCAGAGAATGCTGCTGGAAATTAAGAAAATAATAACACAGGAAGCAGAGACCTAGGTGTCTACATGGGGTGGCCTCATGGGCTGTTGGGTGACACAGGGGTTTCCCAGCCACTGTTTCCTAAGGTACTCACCCCTGTGGCAACATCATGGTTTCTACTACTTTAATATCTGGTTCAATGTCTTGAGCAGATGGGTCCCTTCATTTGCCTCTAAGGCAAATTTGGCTCCAAGTTTGAAATGTAGGTATTTCTTTTTTCTTACAAGGAATTTTTTTTCTTACCTCCCAGATCTTCTCTAGCTGTTCGAAGATGTTGGAAACCCCAGGAAACAAAGGTTGACCCTGGAACATTTCAATAAATATGCAGCCTGCACCCCTAGAAAGGAAACAAGACATTTTTCCAGGCCATTCATACAAAACTAAGTATCTATAATTGTCTCCGTCTGAGGAATATTTTGGGGACTGTTAAATAGGGGCCATGTGTTATTAGAAATCTTAGGCCACAAAAGTTCTCAAATAAGAATAGTGAAAGCAAGAACAGTGAACGCTTTTAGTTAAAGTGGAACCAAGCCAGCAGCAATCAGGAGCACACATCAAACATTTCAAGCTGTTCAGGTTTACTAGCTCTCCATTTTATGAGAAGGGAAAGCACTGAATATCCAAGTTACAGGCCAGTTTTCAATTCAATGTTACCATTGAAAGATGCATTGTTAGGGTATGTGCCATTAGCAGGGAAAAAAAAACAAAAAACAAAAAACAAAAATAACCCTGTCTGTCACTTTATAATTATCTACGATTATTCTGTGTCAATCAAAAACTGATTTTTTATTAAAGATTGCACCCCCATGCTGGGTATGATGGCACACAACCTATATTCCACACATTTGGGAGACTGAAACAAGAGGGAAAAGACTGCAACACGTACACACACACACACACACACACACACACGCACACATGCACACACATGCACACACTCTCCTTGCAAATTATATTATTATGTGGTCAGAATGCTTATTTCATCCTTGCTGAAAGAGTTGTTATAAATTTAATTAGGCATAGATTATTTTCTCATGTATCATATTTGTGCATACAAAAATGCGGAACATTGGATGAAATAATTGGTTTAGACACTTCTAAAACTTTTTCATATTCAGCATTTGATTCAGACTCTTTGATGTGCTTACCCATGGTATCAGCCTCTATTTTAAGAGGTTGATGATACAGCATTTCTTAAAATAAGCCATAAAAGAGCTAAGAGCCATTGGTGCTGGGCTTCTAAAGTGGCTTTGCAGTTTTACAGCGAGTTTACTCGACTCCTGCTTGAAGAATGTTGCTAAACACATCTGAGTCATTTCTTCTCCATAACCATTTGGTTCCTGGGGTTTAAATAACAAAAACCCTCTTGCTTGCAGGATTTTCCTCCAAGTCACTGACATCTATTTTACAAGTTTTTAAAAAATATTTTATTTATTATGTTTATTTTATGTGTATGAATGTGTTACTTGCATGTAGGTAGGTGCACCCATGCCATGCAATGTCCGTGGAGGTCAGAAGAGGGCACTGGAGCCCCTGGAACTGGAGTGACAGACAGTTGTTAGCCATCATGTGGGTGCTGGGAATTGAACCTGGGTCCTCTGCAAGAGTAGCCAGTGCTCTTGACTGCTGAGCCATCTCTCTATTCCCCTTTTCCCTACTTTATTACTTTATTTATTTATTTATTTAAGTATATGTATGTATATGTGTTTGTGTTGGGGGTGGGTGGGTCCAAAAATGCCATGGCACTGTGGAGTTCAGAGAACAATTTGGAGGAGTCAGTTCTCTCTTTCCACAGTATCAGGCTCAGTGGCAAGCACCTTTACCTGCTGAGTTGCCTCACTGGTCCCTAGTCTGAAAGTTTTGATGTTGGGTCATTTGATGTTCACACTTATTCAGTTGTGACAACAGTCATAACCACAGCCTGATGAACTGTTTCTATTGTAAGGGGATGCTGCTGATTGTAAAATGCATTCCAATTTAACAACAAAAGTGCATTTTAAAATAGATTAAGTAGGGTGAAATATGTATTTTCTTTCTGACATTGTCAAACTAGAAGATCATTCTTTATGGGCAGGAAGATTTATTTTGCTAATAATGCATAAAGATTTAAAAAATACTTCATTATTTTTATTTTTATGTGTATGAGTGTATTTCCTGGATGTGTATAAGTGCACCCATGTCGTGCAATGCCCCTGAAGGTCAGAAGAAGGTGTCAGATTCCTCTGGAACTGGAGTTATGGATGGTTGTTTGCTACCATGTAGGTGCTGGTTATCAAACCTGGGTCCTCTGCAAGAGCAGCCAGTGCTCTTAACCACTGAGCAAGCTCTCCAGCTCCACATAAACATTTTTGTAAGTTATTTGTGTGTTACAGTTGCTTGATTGTAGAGATTTTCCTGATGATCCAATATTTTTAAATTTTTATTTCACTACAGACCTCTTTGACCAGTACAGATCATTTTGCAATCTCCTTTAATAATTTTTTAATGTATTATATGTGTGTTTGTATCTGTGTGAGTACATGCCATGTGTGTGAGTTCCTGCAGAGGCCAGAAAAGTGTCAGATCCCCTACAGCTGGAGCTACTGGTGGTTCTGAGCTGCCCCATGTGGGTTCTGGGAATCAAACTTGGGTCCTCTGGAAGAGTAGCAACTCTCCTGACCACAGGGCCATCTCTCTAGCTCCTCCTGTAATCATTCTGCCATTCTTGTGTGGCATAATAAAAAAGGAAATTGAAGTAAAACATTTGTGTGTGTGTGTGTGTGTGTGTGTGTGTGTGTGTGTGTGTGTGAAACAGGTTTTCACTATGTAGCTCTGGCTGACCTGGAACTTGCATAGGTTTGCCAGGTTGGCCTTGATATTATAGAGATTTACCTGCCTCTGCCTCCCAAGTTCTGGGATTAAAGGTGTGCACTACCAAGACTGATCAACATTTTATTGTTGATGGTTACACTATTAAATATTTATTATCAAATTCATTCAAAATATAGTCTTTAATAGTATTCATATGTTTTATTACATATTTTTTTTTTACTTTTTCCATTGATTATCAATGTTTTCTGCTTACTTTTCATGGATCGTGTAGGAGAAAGTGTATTTCTTGACAGCTAAATTTAAGAATAATTCTTATCTTGCATTTGGTCTGAGGATAGAAGACATATTAAGAGAAAGATCAAAATGTAATTGTATCTTATGTTGAAATAGACAAAAGCGAGATGGCTCAGTAGTTTAGAATACTGGCTGCTCTTGCAGAGGACCTGGGTTTGGTTCCCAACACTCACATGGCAGTTAACAACCATTGCACTTACACACATACAGGCAATATACTCATACACATAAAAAGTTTAAAAAGTAGACAAAAGCTATTTTATGACTTATTGCTTGGTTTGAAATTAATAAACTGGCTCATTCCTATGATTTTTGTGGGGAAAAGATGAAGAGATTAGTGAGAACTCAGCAAGCAGGATTTTCTTCCCACCCCTTCAAAAACAGGTTATTTTCATTCTGAACCTTTAAAAAAAAGCTAATTTGGACAAAATGGCAATATTTTTTTCTTTTTTACCAGCTTTTGTTTTACAGACACAGTTTAAATGGGATCCAAAAGTTTTGATCAGACAAATGTAACCTATGAATCTGTTAACAAGTATCTTGGAGTAAATCCTTAGAATAATTGCCATTTTAAAGCTTCTCATTAAATTGTATTTAAATATCCACATTTTTTAGTAGAGCATGGTGGAGGAAATCAGCTGATCTGGAAGCTTCATCCCTACTGGCTAGCTTTTGTAGTACTGGAAGATACTATGCACACTACCAGAAGAGAGAAGTAATCATTAGTGTGACTGATTATAGTGAACACTGCAAGCTATAGTAGCAACTGGCCTGCCAAGATATGCCCACTGCTACAACAGTGGCACAAATGTTATGGGAATAACCAGCCACTATCTGATTGGATTTAAAGTTTGCTATACAAGATGGAACCCATGCCTGGCACCATTATTGAGGCCAAGAACCTGTAGCTAGATAGGTCATAGACCCTAGGGTAGCTCCTATTTACTATTAGTCCGCTACATGGACATAGTATTAAACTAACTCCCAATGACTTATTGTTATGCCCATAGATTAGTGTACCTTCCAACTCTTGTTAGAGAAGCCTCTTTTGGTGGTAGAAGGCAATCTTTCAAAATTGGCTGTACATTTCTAGGTTTACAGATGAATTATTACACTTCTATAATCTTTAACACAGAGACCCACAATTGGTCAATGTATAGAGAATAAGAGACTCTAGGGTTCTCAATCCTGTGTGGGACAGCCATATCACACCCCTTCCCAAAAGTCTCAGAGAGTGTCTTGGAAGAAAGGGCAGAAAGACTGTAAGAGCAAGATGTGATAGATGACTACATTAAAAGTGTTTTCTGGACACAAGAGGGCAGTTGCACATATGAACTCAAAGTGGGTACAACCTGCACAAGACCTTCCCAACTCAAGCCAGACAAAATCCCAGCACAAAGGGGCAGGTGGTGGGCACAAAGCCCTGCCCCTAGATGAAGGATAATTGGCTGCTGGGAGAAGAAGAAGAGTCAGTTTTCTGTAAAGGTGTGACACTGGGGAAGTTGACCATACTCTAGGGCATGGACTCCTACCCAAGAGTATTTGGGGAAGACAGGTTGGACTTGGTGGGCTAAAAAAAAAAGAAAAAGACACAAAGTGGTGGGGTGGAGGGAGAGAAGGGGGGGAGTGAATCAGATAGGGGACGAGGATTGACTCAGATTAAAATAAATTGTATGAAATTCTCAATCAATCAATAAAAACACATTTTTAAAAGCCCTATAAAACTGAGTGTTTATTTAAATTTGAAGCAAGCAAACAAAAAAAAAGATACTCTAAACAAACAAAACTGCATAGCTATTCCTAGATATAAACCTGTAGTTCATCTACCTTTTCTATCCTCCTTAAAAGACTTTCATTGCCTAAAGTAAATCTTGTTGCTTTTTCATGATTTGTTTTCTTTTGTGGTGCCAGGATCCAAACCTGGACTTGTCACATTCTAGGCAAACACTCTACCACTGCACTGTACTCTTGGCCCTTGCATTTTTTCATACTATTGACTTTGGAAAGCCAAGAAAGAAGTATTTTTGTTACACAATTTCATGGCATCCTTTATCATCTATACAATAAGGACAGCATACAAAATTGTGCAAAATATACTTTGGTAAAAACTAGAACATTCAGGTGATTATGCAAGTTCTACAAAGCATAAGATCTTTGTGTTCTGGAGATAAAATGCTAATATTTCACTAAAATTATCCATTTGCATTCCAAAGTAGTTTGAAACTTTTTCTA